TGAGTTACATTCTTTTTTTGCATTTATAGTCTTAATTTTTATGATATGGGGCACTTGTTAGCTTTTACGTCATGTACTTTTAGATGAGTTCCCCATTTCAGACAAGTTTGTCATTGAATTGATAAAAATCCTTCTTGACTATTTGTTTCATCTAATACAAACCCTTTATGTAATGAATTCATAATTAAAAATGTTACAAAAAAAAAAAAGAGCCAAGGTGGCGCAGTGGTTAGGGTGCAGTACTGTAGGCCACTTCAGCTGACTGCAGTTCTGCAGTTCGGCTGTTCAAATCTCACCAGCTCAAGGTTGACTCAGCCTTCCATCCTTCCGAGGTGGGTGAGATGAGGACCCGGATTGTTGTTGGGCGTGATATGCTGACTCTGTAAACCGCTTAGAGAGGGCTGAAAGCCCTATGAAGCGGTATATAAGTCTAACTGCTATTGCTATTGCTATTACTATTTATATCTATATTTCTACCTATATCTATCTATCTCTATATCTCTATACCTATACCTATCTCTCCCTCTCTCTCCCTCTCTATCTCTATATATATCTCTATATGTATATCTATATATCTCTATTAAAAAGAGCCGAGGTGGCGCAGTGGTTAAATGCAGCACTGCAGGCCACTTCAGCTGACTGCTATCTGCAGTTCAGCGGTTCAAATCTCACTGGCTCAGCCCTATGAAGCGGTATATAATTCTAACTGCTATTGCTATCCCTGGGGGGGGGGGAGAGATACCCCAATGCCGCTTTCCCCTCCCGGCTGTGCATTTGCCAGGAACCACAGAATTGCCCCAGGAACTATGGCAAAAGCCCATGGAGAAGCCTGGTTTGGGGGCACCCAGAGCCCATGCTCCTGCTTGGCTGCTGTTGGAAAGGAAGGTGGCCTGGCTTTCCCCCCCCCCTCCAGCTTCCAGGTCCACCTTGTACCGGATCCCATGCCTGGGTGGGTGGGCGGGAGGTGAGCTCACACCCTTGGCTGATTTTGGTTCTCAGGGATGTTGTGGTAAAATCTACGGTTGGAACAATGCCTCTGCTTTGACACGGCCAGATCGCCCCCTGAAGCTGTTTGGCTTGCTGGTGCCGGCTCCCGTTGAACCGGTTGCTTGGCAGGAGTCCGGAGGCTTTCAGAGAGCACCTGGTGGCTTCTAAAAAGTGGCCAGTTGCCGCCTGGCATCGACAGGCAAGAAGGGGATTGAGCGACTCCCCTGCAGCTTTTCATGGCTAGTTGTTGGGGGGGGGGCTTCCTGCTCTTCCCAAGAGGCTCAGTGGATGCAGCAGGAGACCTAGAGAACCCTGCGGGAGGGACGGGGGGGGGGCACAAAATGGCACGCCCAACCAGAGATGCGGGAGAGCCATGTTAACCCCGTGAGGTTGTCTGTACCCAAACGCACCGATTTCTCCATCTCGCATCTGTGCAGCCGACCAGCAACCCTTTGAGGGAGGAAGAGCCTCAAGTGTGCCATCTGAGGATTTCCAAGTGGCTTGGATTCAGCCGGGCTCAGCTGACCCACCTGCCGTCTCAGAGGCTGCCTTGCCTGCTCATCTGGGATGGTGGCCTGCTTGGGTGGGTGGGTGGGATGTGCCGGGCCTGGAGTGGACAGCACCCCTTCCCCATTACAGAGCCTTCCCTGCAGCCAGTGGCCTCTTATGGTGGAGGGCCGCAGAGGTGGGGGTTTGGCTAGTTGAAGGGCCTCCCCAGGAAGGATGGGTTAGGGCAGTGTTTCTCAACCTTGGCCACTTGAAGACGTCTGGACTTCAACTCCCAGAATTCCCCAGCCAGCGAATGCTGGCTGGGGAATTCTGGGAGTT